GAAATAATGAACTCTGTCTCCCTTGATCTACAAGTTCTTCTACATTCCTCTTAAGGCTTCACCCGCCGCATTTTCAGGCTTCAAGGCTTCTAGTTGAGCCTATTTGATATGTGTGGACAAATGTGAATGGATGGTCATGGTTAGTGCTTTCACTCTGCGACCTGAGTACTTCTTTTCGACCGAGGGCATCTGCTACTACATTTTCTTTGCTGGGATGATAACACATTTTGCATTCGTAGTCATTGAGTAGTTCTAGCCATCACCGTTGTCTCATGTTAAGCTCATTTTGGTCGAGTATGTGCTGGAGGATTTTGTGATATGTGAAGATGGTGCACTTTATACCTTAGAGGTAGTGCCTCCATATTTTCAGAGCAAACACCATTGCTCCCAGTTCGAGGTCATGAGTGGTGTAGTTGTCCTCGTGTGTGTTTAGCTGTCTCGAGGCATAGACAATGACCTTTCCTCACTGCATAAACACACAACCTAGCCCTTGATTGGATGCATCGCAGTATACAACGAAATCCTCTGTCCCTTCAAGAAGAGACAAGATAGGTGCGCTCCATAGGGCTTGTTTTCGTGTTTGGAATGCAATGCTTTGTTTCTCTCCCTAGATGAAAGTTACACCCTTTTGAGTCAGGGTAGTAAGTGGTTTAGCGATACTGGAGAAGTTATATATGAATCTGCGATAGTAGCCAGCAAGACCCAATAATTGACAGATCTCTATGGGAGTTCTTGGTGCTGACCAGTTCTCTATTGCCTTAATTTTGGAGGGGTCCACGTGTATTCCTTCTTTGCTGACCACGTGACCGAGGAAAGTTACCTTCCTAATCCAAAACTCGCACTTTGAGAACTTCGCTTATAGCTTCTCTGCCCTTAATGTTTCTAGAACTTGTCTCAGGTGCTGACTATGTTCTTCCTTGCTTTATGAATAGATAAGTATATCATCTATGAATACTATCATGAATTTTTCTAAGAAAGGACAACACACCCGATTCATTAAGCCCATGAACACGACGGGTGCATTTTTCAGACTGAAGGGCATTACTACAAACTCGTAGTGGCCATAACGAGTTCATAATGTTGTATTGGGAACATCACTCTCCTGGATTCATAATTGGTGGTACCCTGATCTCAAGCTGATCTTCGAAAAGTAGCTCACTCCTTGGAGTTGGTCGAACAAATCGTCTATTCGCGGTAGAGGGTATTGATTCTTAATGGTAAGCTTGTTCTTAGTCCAATTTTAAAGGCTTCTACAGTGGTGGCCATGTTGATGTTGGGGATGCTCAAAGATTCCTTGCCAAACCTGTTAACAAAGTCCCTAAGTTTTTCTCTAGGGTCTTGAACCACCCGGTAGAGATCAATAATGATCCTCTCGAAGGTTCTGCTGCAAGAGAACTGGTTATTAAAGATATTGACTAAGTCTGCAAATGAAGTAATAGAGTATGGGGGAACGTTTAGCATCCATTTAAGGTATGATCCTGTAAGGGTTGAACCAAATCCTTTGCATAGGCAAGCTTTCTTCAAGTGCCATGGGAAGGGAATGATCTCCATCCTTTCTCTGTATTAGGCTATATGTTCTTCAGGGTCTGTAGTTCCATCGTATAACTTCATATTGGAAGTTTGGAAGCGCTTAGGAACTTCAGTATCGGCTATCATGAGAGCAAATATCAAGATCCTATGGCTTGTAGGAGATGCTTCTGGTATTAGTTGGACCACTCCGGGTACACTGGAGATCATTTATCTTAATTGCTGAAGTTCCCTGGCCATGCTTGGGTTTATTCCTGCATCAACGTTAGTATAGTTAGTATCAATAGTATTGATGTTTAAGAAGTTACTAGAATCAAGGTTTCTAGGAGTGGTGAAAGGCTCGTTGAGATTATTGATCATGGACGATCGATTGCCCATAGTCGCCCCCAGAGTGATGCCACAGTGGTAGGAATCGTGTTCTTCTGGCGATTTTTTTGAGGATCCTGCATTATCGAAGTCTGGGATCCTTGGTTGCACAACTGTGGGCGTTGTTTCCTGGGATTTTTGAAATTCCACCTTCATCCTCTCCACTTCTTTGAGTAATGCTCTATTCTCCTCTTGCTGTTGGGTCACCTGTTGCATCATTTTCTTCATCATGGCGAAAAGTTCTGCAGTAGTGACTGAGGCAGTTTGATCCTAGAGCCCTAGGGATCCCAAACTTCCTAGATTAGCAACCGAGGGGTTGCTTTTCTTAGAAGTGTCAGGTGTTTTCATATGAGTTGGGGGCCCACTCGGAGGAGGTGGTAGGTTTTTGGTTGGAATGGAAGGAATAGAGGATGAAGAGAGGATAAGTTGTGTGGACATGATTTTTATTTTTTTTGAGGATTTTGAACACCACGACCCCACGTTGGGCGGTAAATTGTTTTGGTTAAAAATTACACAAGTACTTATTAACCAAATTGAATGAGAGGCTGTGATGTTCAGATTGTGTAATAGCAATGGTAAAAGAGAGTGACACAATGGTTTACAAGGAAAACCCTTGATCATTGCTAGGATCTCCGATACAAAATCTTGGGAGGTGATAATGAGCACCTGCCTTGGTGATTTTATTGATATAAAATAAAGATTACAGTGAGTTTTTTAGCCAGAATAAGTAAAGAATTTTGTAGAGTAACCTTAGAATAAAAAACAATGTATTGTGTGTAGATTACAAGTGTCAATTTATAGTCTAAACTAGCCAACAAGATGTCCGATATTTTCGGGATCCTCTATGACCAACTTCATGATCGTTATTTGACCTAGTATTCCGGGTCTTCAGCATTATTGAGATGATTCTTCGTTGAGAATTAGTCTTCTATTGAATGCTTCTGCACACGTGTTAATTATATACAAGATATGATCGTTATAAATATTAATAAAAATAATAACGATAAGTAACCGGGATCTTGAGGTAACTAAGGATCCTGAATATTTGAGGATCCTGAATATTGTAAGGATCGTGGCCATAACAACAGGGAAATAAATATTAGATTTTATTATTAGTTATTTTGTAATAAAATTTACTATTTTTAAATAAAATATTTATGTTTATACTTTATATTTATATTGTTTGTTTATACTGTTGATGTAAATTAATTAATATTAATGTATACTTTAAGAAATATAAATAAATTTATATTCATGAATTTAATATTTTAAAATTTTCATTTTGTTTCAAATTGAACTTAATTACTTTATTTAATTCAAATCTTTAAACTTTTGATAAGTATTAATGATTATTTATGCATAATAAATTTGTACAAAAAGCTTTGTAGCTTATACCTCTTAAAATTCAAAATATGACTAATATATATATATATATATATATATATATATATATATATATATATATATACACACACACAATGTAGTCCTTTCATATTTGTATGAATGAAACATATAACTTTAAAACAAACGAGAGAAATCTGAATTATTTTCATATCTGTATGAATGAAACGTACAAGTTTAAAACAAACAAGAGAAATCTGAATTATATTTTAAAAATAAAGATTAAACACATAATTTGACATTTGAACTAGGAACAAACCGTATAATTTTCTCAAAAAAATCATGAAGTCTAATGTATTGTATTTAGGATGAAAATCTAAAATTAGTATTTAACTTAAAATATGAAAACAACTACTTTCTTTTCTAATATAATATAATTTTTAGAAAAGTATAAATCGGTGAATGAATGAACAGATCTTGAGCCCCACAAGGCAGAGACATATCGAGAGAATTGTAATCGATACGTCGTGTTTGGTTCTAGTGGTCCTAATTGGGGTTTTTGTTAGCATGTTGTATTCCGATTTCCTAATTATAAGAAGTTGATGTATAACATATCTTTTTATATGAACCAAACAAAATTAATTCTTATGTTGAAAGATGGAGGTGTCTTATTCATCAAGTAAAAATTTCTCATTAACATGGTTTAATCGTTATACAAACTTTGAAGGTTTTTTAACCATTATATACAAATACAAGGCTTTTAGGGTTTATTTGTCTTTAAATTAGTTTCTGTATATGGATGCTTCTCGAAAGTAAATGGTAAATGAAAAACTATTGTTTGTTTTGGCCTTTTGGGTCAAAATTATCTTAAAATTGGTCAAATGTATGAGAAGTGGAGATCTAATAATGTGATATCGGCATATAAAAACATAGGAGATGCACAAAGCTATGACGTTTATATGTTTGAAAAAAATGAGGTTTACTAATTTGAGCACAAATTTAACGACTCGAAACAGTAAGATACTAACCGATTTCTATTCTTTGTCATTACGCATTCACTTTTTTGTATTTTGAACGTGTAACACGAACATCCCCAGATATGATATTTGAACGCGGTTGATTTCATAGTTACAAAGAATCGTTATTGTTGTTGTTTTATGATGAGAAACAAACATATGAAAATGGGACGAATTTATTTTTATAGATACCCTGTTTAGTTCATTTCTTTGTGTGATATCCGTATCAGCGTATCTCATATATATACACATGTTAACAATTCAGCTGCACAAAAACCTGAGACCTGAAGGTCGAGATTTACCGAAGTTTTATTTATTTTTATTTTTATTTATTATTATTATTATTATTATTATTATTTTTTTTTTTGGGGGGGGGGGCGTTTTATATTTGGACTATACTATATTTGTAACTTAGCCGGGTGGATAAAGTTTTACCTTATATGTTGTTTTTGGAGCATTTACCCGAGATATTTTATATCGAATCAGAGAGGATTTTATCTAATGCGAAAAAAGTGATCACTGAGAATCGATTTGTTTTGTGGCTGAAATTTGGAATTGAGAAATGATATAGTTATTTGTGTTCATGGTCTTTTTTTTGTTATTTAATAAATTTAAAACTGTATTATTGATTATTTTAACGGCTATATTTTAAGGGCATTTTATTCTATGCACACAAAATACTACAACTACAATGCTTATAATATATACTTTTTAAATATCTTCAAAGTATTTGTAATATATAAGCTACATATTAAACTTATGTTTATAAGCTTTTAATATTAAAAATGTCTTAAAAATAAGATGTATTTTCTTTTCTTTTTGGCCAGGGTCATGGCAGATTATACCTACTAGCTTTTCCGGATCAGATTTTCTACGCTACAATTTCACTTGAAAATATTATTTTTAATACTTTAATTAAAACGAAGACGTTAAAAAGGTTAGTCTGGTCTTTAGTAAAATGTAACAAAAATCAATTCGTTCTCTTCTCCTTCAACCGTTGGCTGTGTAGAAGCCGTCTCTCTTTCTCTCTCCCGCTTTTCGAATTCCTGAAATTGACTGATTCAATATTCAAAATTTAACGGCTGCGTCGCCGGAATATTCATCCCTCTCAGCGATCTCCGGTCATCCAGCTTAATTGATCGCCGGTTAGATTATTGTTCACTCTATCCAGTTTTTAATTTGTGTGCATCCGGTGAAAAATTCAAATTACGTTTAGTATCGTTCAAAATCGTGGCCATAATTACTAATTCACTGTCAACTTTCAGTTTCGAGGTGAAATTTAATGTCATTAATGGTGACATAAGAGTTAGAAGTTTAATCAGTTTTTATTTAATATTTATTTCCATTTCTACGGTATCCGAGAGCATCGAGATGAAAAAGAATAGAATCAATCTCTATGCAGATCTGGTTTTAGTTATTAGAAAAATATTTGATGTAGAATGATATATATTTTATTGATATCTCTTACTTCGACACTGTTCCTGAAATTTCAGACAGATATCTGCGGAATCCAGCCACTACATCTTGTATGGTTCCTGTAATTTTTACTGATATATTATAGAAAATAGGGATTTTTGTGATTTATATGAGGTTTCTTCCTAGGTTCTTACAAGTATCAAATTGATATAAATATATTGATCTTTTGAGGAAAATCAATATAACTATGATACAAAAACATTTGGTGCTAGAATTGCAGAAAGAATTTGATTATTATGTTTGGACTTTATCTGACTCTTGATAGAGATCAAAAAAGTAGAAAGTGTATATCATATATGTAGCTTCTGAGTTTTGAATATCTATAATATAGTTCAAAGATGTTCATTGTGTTTCATTATGTAATAATGAGATCTTAACCTAAGTATATTTTAGCCTTTTAGTTAATTAGATTAAGTTTTTTGTATTTTGTTATATTGATAAATCTATGTTTTGTGTCTGTGTGAACGGATACAGTGAATTAATCTAACAAGGAGGGACAATGATCCTGTTTGGCACATGGTCCTCCATGGATGCTTCCATAATCCCATCATTACATGCTTATTATTGACCATAATCAAATATTTACAGTTAACCTTTGACTGTAAATTTAAAAAGTAGGCTTCTAAAGTTAAAAATTCAAAATGTTGATTGTATTAAATAATCTTTACTCAGATGTAGACAAACAAAGAATAAATATAAATATAAAGTATAAAACAATCTGGTGGGATTGTATTTTTGTTCATCAATGTTTTCAAGATTATATTGTGTGAATTTCCGCCATTACTCTGCAACTCCTTTTCCTTTCAGTCCTGTCGACCATGGCAAATCCGTGAAAGAGACAACAGGTGGCAGTTTTTGTGTTTTTTAGCAGGATTCTTCTTATAATCTTATCCTACGCACCCCTCCATATCTTCTCTTGTACCTATCGCCTTCCCTTTCTTCCTACTGTTTCCTGTATTTGAGTTAAATGGGTTGCATTCCTCCAATCAAACAAACGCACTTTTCCCTTTTTTTTATGAGCTGTAACTGTAAGTGTAAGTGTAATATTCTTAAAGTGCAATTTTCTTGATGATGTTTAGTTGTTTATGATCATATTTAGTTTGTTATTATGATTCAAAGATATCCATTTGCTTTATTTTGGCTCCAAGTTACAAAAGTTTTCGCATTTTCAGATCTGTGTGCCTGTAAAGATGTGTACTTTTTATCACTTTTTTTCTTTTTTCATCATATTATCTTCTGCTTAATAATGACAGTGAAAGGATAGCACATAAGAAGAAGAAGAAAGCAAATTCCTTCGTCTTTTCAAGAAATTCGTGGATTATTTTTGGCAAATGTGTTGCTCGTGTGATAGAAGACATCAATGTGGTTGAATTCGAATAGAGTGGATGGACGTATGTGAATCAAATCAAGCATCAGAGACCCGAAAGATCAAAAACAATGGAAGAATTCATCGGGACGTTAATTCAAGGTACAAATCACCTACACCACGGCGTTTTCCATCTCCAAACACGAAAACAACAGTCACAACTTCAACGTCAGCGCCGATTTCAAAGAGAGCTGTATCCGCCGGACGAAGACAACCGCCAGCGGCAGCAACACCACCGTCGCCGCCGTCCCCCTCCACCCCAGTTCACGATTCATCTATTTACACCGAACTCGGCGCTAGAAAAGCGAGTGGTAGTAGTAAATTGCCGGAGTCGTTATGGCCTTCAAGAATGCGAAGTCTCAATGTTGCTTTTCAATCAACAGCTTTTTCAATGCCGATTAGTAAGAAAGAGAAGCCTCCCCCACAAGCCATGTTTGATCGGACATTGAAGCCTTCGTCAAATGTCGGCCATAAACCGACTGTAACACCACCATCACCACCACCGACATACCGGAAAGCTACGCCGGAGAGAAATAGAAGTCCTCTCAAAGGCAAAAACACCATCGATCACTTAGAAAATTCTAAACCTTTCGATCGATTTGATCACCATAGATGGCCTAACAGAACCGGGTCTTCTAATGTTTTAACCAAAAACATCGACCCACCCGATCATGAACCCGTAACTCCAAAATCCACAAACGGAAATTCAAGAAAACCATCGTCGCTTTCTTATAATCCACACAGAATAGCCAATCTTTTTTCCGAAAAAAACGCAATTCGATCTCCATCACCAATTAAGTCATCTGGTATTATTATTTCACGAGGTGTCAGTCCATCGCGAACAAGGGTTTTAATTTCTCCACCACCTCCACCACCCGCCGCCGCTAGAGGCGCCAGTCCTAGTCGCGGCGTGTCGTCATCTACTCCTACTCCTTCCACCCAATTACGCAATTCGAATACAGTTTCTGTTCTCACATTTATCGCCGACATTAAAAAGGGGAAAAAAGTTGCGAATCGCATAGAAGACGCTCATAATCTACGCCTACTTTATAACCGGCAAGTCCAGTGGCGTTTCGTAAACGCCGGCGCAGAAGCCACCTTAAATTCTCAGAAACTAACGGCTGAGGTAAGAGGTTTGGTTCTTTCATTTGTCTCTTTTGTATATATTAATTAAAAAATTAAAATAGTATTCTGAAAACCGATATTGATACTATCGTATTCTGTAATGCAGAGATCTTTACTTAATGCACAGAGAACAACGTCACGACTTCAAGATTCAGTAACTGCAAAGAGGGTTAACATCAACCAGATGAAACTGCAGTTAAAGCTTTACTTGATTTTAATGACTCAAACTGGTTACTTAAACCAATGGTGTTCAATTGAAAGAGACCATAATTTTGCATTACATGGTGCTATCGAAGATCTAAAAGCAAGTACTTTACGCCTTCCTGTTACTGGATGGGCAACGGTATGTATTTGATGCCTACGTGGCGTCCACATAGACAAAATCGAATAACCTTATATTAAATTAATAAAATAATAAGTAATAACACTTGTTTTTTACAATTCACAGGCAAATATACAAAGTGTGAAGTCGGCGGTTTATTCAGCTATTCAAGTAATGCAGTCGATTGGATCCTCTTTACAATCTACACTATCAAGAGTAAGTTCTATATCTTTTATTACTTATATACATATACATTTGAAGTTTATATAAAAAGTGAATAAATAAATTCCTTTTGTTACAGTTGGAGGGGACAAATTGGGTGGTTTCTGAACTTGCAACTGTAGCATCACAAGAAAGAGCTCTTCTTGATCAATGTGAAGCTTTATTGACTTGTGCATCTTCTCTACAGGTAAATAAATATTTACATTTTAAATGGTGAAAAAAGTTTATTAAAACTATAAAGGAGCAAGATATTACATATTACATATTAGTCCCCCCGCTTTTTAGTAAAGCATAACAGTAACATTCTATGTTAAGTTATGGGCAGGAAGTTTAGGTAGCTTTGGTGGTCCTCCATCATGCCATATGCAATTAAAGCATATGGTATGTGTCTATGTGATGTGATGTGATGTGGCATATGATTATGATATGTCTCTTTTAATTGGGTAATTTTTCTTTCTTCTCATTGATACAATAATAGGGTTCACGCGTGTAGTTGCGTATTGAAACTTTTGGCAACATTCTCCATTTTTGGTTGTATAAAAAATGCTATCTTTCTATTCTTGGATACGTAATTATGTAGTGTGTATAGAAATTAGTTAGGTTAGCAAATTAGGTAAATCGTTTTTAAGCTTTTAGAAATTGTGGACCACTTGCCCATTAAGAAGCTTATTAATGAACATGGTTGTTATAAATGCTGCAAACATAATGTCCTTAGTCCCACAAACATGGGGGCCAAAGTATGGGCCTCATGGGTATCTCTAGAATAGGTCAAGGGTTCAAGTCTTAGCAACTACAACTACAGTATGTAAGAAAAAGTCTTTGGATTATCTTGATGTTGATTTTTTTTGGATATATACAGGTAGAGGAATACACCCTTAGGACACATCTCATACAGTTGAAACAAGATTTGAAGAGTCTATGATTTCGCCCATAAATGACTCCATCCACATTCTACACTAACTTCACTTTATATTCTTAAGAAAAAAAGAACATACGTCAGCGACAACATATGGTGTGTTGATATAGTGTGTGTACAGTTTTCTTTTGTGTGTGTGAGAGAGTGCTTCTTTTTCTCCCATCACTTTAGGAGAGGTGTTGGGGTAATTATAGCAAAAAAATGTAACCGGTTAATGTATCCATATCAATGGCAATGCAATGGTTCTAGCTTTATTCATTCTTATTATTGTAATTTTTAGCATCATTACTTGAAAAGAAATGAAAAAGTAAAAAGCAATTAATTACTAGTTAGAGTAAATTAGAGCGTTCGTCGATGTGGTATATCTTAAGTGGATGCTAAATGACCAATTTGCTCTTGTCTTCATTTTTTTCGTCTCATCTTCAAAAAAAAAATCCTAATAAAAAACACATTTTAACTAACCCATAAAAGTTCAAATCTAAGATTAAAGTAATAACAAAGGAAAAAAAAAACAAATTAAGTTGCTGTCGAGGGACCAAATATGCAATGATAGTATGATACCATGCTTTAAGGACCATAGTGCCACGAACCACATTTGGATGAAAGGTGTAATTTACTCTAGAAGTTAAACTTTGTTGTATGCTTAAACGTCACAACACAGAAATTCAAAATATACCATCAAAAAACACTCTCAATAGAAACAAACTTTCTTTGATCGGCATTAGATTACAATCTTAACAGAAACAAACTTTTTTCATCGAGTACAATGAACAAAACTTTTCACTTGAAGGAGTAGGTATTTCATGTTCAGCAATTGAGTCCACATTGCTTGACATCGGGTCCTTTAGTCTTCAACACAAACGGGTCAATCCTGACCCAAAGCAACGAGAAGATGGAAGCAAGAAGTATAGACCATATAACCACAATAGTCGGGGTCCTATTCTGCTTTCCCATGAGACCTTTAAGAAACGGATAAAGATGAACAATCACCCAAAACGCAAAGAACAACTTCCCAAATAGCGGGCCCCACGATTGGTACCCGTTGTTAATCGCATCAGAAATCCCCGCCACAACCCCAACCATGTTAATGATCAAAATAGTAGTCGGAGGAATGAGTAAAGTTGTCCATTTAAACGCGTACAACTCCCCGAAATCCTCATCATCCGATGCTTTCGATGTCACTGTGAAATTCGTATCTATTCCCGCCAAAATCTTTAACAAACCTTGTACAACCGCAAACAAATGAGCCGATACGCCACCAATCACCCAAAATTGCTCGTTCCTCCACCACTCCTCAATGCTGACACCGCTCCACCGGAGCTCGAGGATTCCGGTGGTGAAAATGGAGAGAAAAAGAGAAATGAAGAAGAGACTTGCTAAGGTGCTAATCTCCGGCATGATGAACTTTCCGGTGAGGAGGCAGACGGCGGGGAGGGTGCAGTATGCGAGGAGGGGGAGGGAGGTGAAGGGGTAGACGGTGGTGTTGACATAGGATAACCGCTCGAGCCATTTTAGGTTACCGCCTTTGTAGCCATACCAAACTGGGCTGTGCCGACTGAAAAAGATCTCAACCGAACCCAGGGCCCACCGGAGGACTTGGTTTAGACGATCCGAAAGATTGATTGGAGCTGATCCTTTGAAAGCGGGTCGTTTTGGCATGCAGTATATGGACCTCCATCCACGACAATGCATCTTGAATCCTGTTAGAATGTCTTCCGTGATCGACCCATAAATCCACCCCAACTATATGATAAAGAGAATTTGTCAGATATGAGATTCAATCAACTAGCATACAAATAACGTATTTTAATTACCTCCAAACCCCATTCGGTTTTGTCTTCATACCCACAACTGATGACATGAATGGCTTCTTTGAGAAGCGATGCGGGGCTTGAAGATGGTGGAACTCCACCATCCACCATTAAAGTCGAGGTGACAAAGATAGCCGATTGTCCAAACTTCTTTTCAAAGTTCATTTGAGATTTCAAAAGTTCTTTATCATCATCGTATCCTTGGATGTTTTCCAAATCGCCACCCGGTCCATGTTTTTCATACTTGGGAAGCTTCTTACGGCGTCCAAAACAAGGACAACAATCACAACTCACCATTTTCGGCCTCTTGGGACCCTTTGGTGGGTCATACCCGTATAATGCTTGTCTTCTGAACACACATCCTGTTCCGACATATACCGGGCCTTGAATTCCATCTAAACCCTTCATGTTAATCTGTAAAAAGACGAAAAAACACATCGATCAAACACCAAATTTCATCTTCAATAAAGAAAAATTAATAATCTTTGTATGTTTACATCGAAGAAGACGGTGTTCCTGTTGGCATATCGATCGTGCCTGTCTATGCCATCGAAACGTTGAGGAAACTGAACGTAGCAAACCTTTCTTCCTATTTGTGGATCCATCAAGAAACACATCGCCTCTCGTGCAGCCTTGCTATTGTTTAAGTAATGATCACAATCCAAGTTGAGCATAAAAGGAGCATTCGTCAAAACCGCCGAGACTCTCACCTATAAATCCAAGAAACATCCACAACAATCACACATTCGTTACAATTATATTTCTTTTCAAAAGACCCCTTAAAAGAAAGGGTAGACTACACGATGTATAATCAGATGAGACTGTGTCCAGCTGATGTGATCATTACCAGGGCATTCATAGCACCGGCTTTCTTGTGATGTTGAAAACCAGGTCTCTTTTCACGAGAAACATAAACAAGACGAGGAAGTTCGTTTCCTTCAACATCAGTCCCTCCACTTTGACCAAGAAACACTTGAATCATTCCCGGATGATCTTTTGTGTTATTCCCCGGCCACGGTGTCCCATCTTGCATGATCCAACCTTCCGCGGGCACTTTAATAGCTTTCGCTACAAGCGCATTGACTCGTACCTTAAATTCTTCGTATTCTCTCTGCAACAAAAACAAAATTTAACATGGTATCAGAGCAGAGTCTAGAGTCTGGTTATACTAAAACATCATAGAAAAAAATATTAAATAATAAATACCTTCATGGCGCGCCTTTCCTTGACAAACGTGGGTTGAACTTTATCCTTAAGGTAGTCGATTTTATCCGAGAAATACATTTCAGGAGCTCGTGGCTCGATTGTAAATTTCTTACAAAACGGAACCCATTTTCGTGCGAATTCTGCGGTTTCCGATAGTGATTCAAAGGTAAGCATTGAAGCACCATCATCCGATATGTAACATGAGATTTTATCAACCGGGTAGTCCATAGCTAGAATCGATAAAACAGTGTTAGCTGTAACAAGTGGAGGTTCCTTCAATGGATCCACTGTACTCACAAATATATCCACCGGACACAACATATTCGGCTCACCTTCCCTCTCATACCTGCATCACAACAAAACATCGAACACACAAAATTTAACATGGTATCAGAGTCACTAATAAATACTGATCATCAATGATCAAGATCACTACCTGAGAGAAAGGCGATCTAGATAAGTTTCACGATCAATCGGGAACCATTTCGGGAACTGATCAAGGATCCATGAGAAAGCGAACCAGATCTCACAGATAACAGATGTCAACCATAACCCGAATGCATCATGCACAGGGTTCATGAGTCTGTAACGAAGAAAGATGGCTAAGATAAAAAGACGAGCCACAATCACCATTCTGTAAGGATTGATCTTGCTGGATGCAATCGGTACTTTCCTTGAAAGTGGTTGTCTTGCTTCATCTAACCTGTATCATATGAAAAGATCCAATTTTATATAAAAGTTTGAAACTTTACTACATTGAGAACAAAATTAAACATACATGGCCATATCAGGATCAGCTGAATCATCAACTTCAGCACCAAGGTTTCCTTGCTGCATTTTCCAGTCATCCATTCTTTCTTTCCATCCTCCATCTTTCTTTTCATCCCATCTTCCGCTTCCTGTGAAAGGAATTCATCCAATTATTATTTCATAACTATTAATTCTTGCAAATGGCATAAAAAAAAAAGTTAAAAAAAACGTACCTAGCTCATGAGCCGAATACGGATGCACACGTTTATGAAGCGAGGATAACGTTTGCTCTCCATGAGGTTGACTCGATATTGGGAACTCACCACTTACCTACATCCATGGCACTTAATCTAGTTAGTTCAGCTAGACACAGTCTACTCTGTCTTTGTATATTAGAGAGAGATTCTAGGACTTCACATTTTTAAGTAACATGATTGATATGATCAGTTAGACACAATCTTATCTGCCTCGATCTTTATAAAAACAAAAGTTATTGCTTACGGGTTTAGAGCGGCCAGCAATGACAGGTGGATATTGAGCATTGTCATCATCTTCATGTCCTCGACCATAACTCATCTTTCCTTGAAGCATTGCTTCTGCAATATTGTTGTTCTTGTTTTGATCATCATCAATATTGAATTCGTGTTCAATGTCATCCACATCTTCCTCATCGTCGTCTCCTTCAACCCTAGGACTTCCTATATATGTAGAATTAATATTTAATACTTAATCCATTCGTAAGAAAAACAAACCTAGATGAGATTTTGAGTTTTTTGAGGTCAAAGTCAAACCTTTGAGACGTTTGTATCGGGTTTTGCATTGAGGGCAGTTCTGGCTACCTTCTCTTCTCTCGTACTCATAGCATGGTCGGCACACCGGAAAACCACACTCGTTACATGCTACAAATAAATCTCCGGCGACTGTGACGCCGATCTCGTCACCACATATCTCACAGACTTGACCAGTCAAATCCTTCAAAGGCTTGTGTTCTTCGTGGCCATGGATGACTACGAGCTCGTTCCGGTTGTGAGATCCGGCGACTAGGCCGGCGCTGGCTTGCATGGTGGAGAACACAAGGTGGTGGTGGTGGTGGAGGTGGAGGTGGAGATGGAGAGAGGTGAAGGGTTCCTTTTAATGGAAAGAACGAGGGGTGTTGTTTTCGTTTTAGATTCGAGGTGTCCCTCATGTACCTATAGGTTTGTTGCAGGGTCTCCGTTGCCTTTAAGTTAAGTTTCCCTCTCGTTTTTCTTCAACTACTTTTATATATGGTTTCTTTATTTCAAAGGTTTTAGTAAATTAATTAATTGATATATAGTACATGATAGACTCCATATCGCTTGCATAATTTGATTTTTGTATGTTCGCTGATTATTTTGTATCATAATATTAACTATATCTCTAGAATAAATGTTGGATAATGCTAATTCTTTGATAAATAGCAATTATAGATTACATTCTAATCATCATCCTTCATTCGTTTTTTTTTTACATGTCAATCTCTTATAAATTTTGATACTTGTCATTTTGTGATATTTTTAAAATAAATATTTTTTTAAAAT